TTTAGTAATCACACAAGTTACTACAACCTATTTCTCGTTTGACAAGCAATTTTTCTTTATTCTCTCTTGCAAAGATAATATGATTTTTTTATCAGATCTCTGTCGATTTTCGACGTCAACATATATTAATGTTGTTATTTCTAGACGATCAAAGAACTTATAATAATATTAATATTTATTCAGCATAAAAATTCTACCCATCCAAAATAAAGAGGGGACAACAATTGAGCCTCTCTTTGACAAATATTACTTGAACTTTTTTCTACATACTTATTTTCAATCATATATTCACATAATAAAATATTTTGCACATAAATCCAATACTTTTTTTCCCATTTTACTTTTTAAACACACATTTTTCTAAAAATCAATATACAAAATATTGTTTTTTCTAAGTAATGGTTGTCAAACAGGTGCTAAAGGTGATCAGACGTATTTATAAGTAATACTTTTAACATATTTAAAAAAAATATAAATATAATAAGTTACTTATAGTAACGTTACATAGTTAAAAAATTTAAATTATCAATATTCTCTCTATTTCTCTTGTCGTTCTTCCCCTTGTTCTCATGTCGGCAAACGGACGACTTACACAACTACTTTTAATTAAGATCCAACATTTGGGCTCTCCATAATAATTTAATAGTATTATTTTAATAAAAATTGTTGACCCCTTTTTTGTAATGGTTACGTGGACGGGCCCACTTGCTTTCACACACAAACAAATTTCAACATGTTTTGACTTAGAGTTCGGACAGGAATTGATGACTTTCATGAATGTGGGAGGTCCTTTATGATAGACAAAAATGTTCGAACATTGACAATATGATCAACGATAAATGCATATAATCTATCAATCATAAATGACTCATCCAACATGAAAACAAATTAAACTCAAGCAAATGAATATGGGATTTTCGAGAGAGAAAGTTGAGTGCAATTTTCAATGTGTGTATATATATATTCATTAAGTTCAAATGTTACAGGAGTTGTTAGGCCGAAGTCTCACATCACTCATTGATATGCATTTAATATATTGAAAATCCTGAGAGCAAGGGCTTCAACCAAAGGGAGCCTAGGATGGAGCGAGGGCTTCGACTAATTAAAATGGAGCTTTGGTCAATAGTGTGAGGAATTTCGGGACAAAGAGTATCAGCTTCTTCTTTGACTTCTTTTTTGACTAATTGTTGACCGAGTTATATTTGACTCATCTCCACGCTTTACATGGACCATGATGTCGTCTTCGACTAGAGCCTCTTTAACGAGGCGTAACAAACATCATTATCGTTGTAATAATCACAAGTAATTATTTTAATGTTATATTCATTTCGTACATAACTATTATTAATTATTAACCATTATAATCATGCTTGGTTAGCTTAAAAGTAAAAAAATGTCCTTTTTCCGCCTCAACTTTCCGAAAGATCATACTATTGAAAGAAGTAAAGTTTGATATATTTTATTTAAGTCAAGCAAACGGTGCTCATGTATCTAATTTTTAATTACGATGCTCTCGAAACATCGTAGTTTACTTAATTAATTAAGTTCACAGTATAATAATCAATTTGATTAATAATTATACAAAAGTTTATTTACAGTGATTAACTTTTTCAAATGAGTTATTCATCAATAGTTGAGCTCATTATCAATTTATTATTTAATTAAATTGTGATGTATTTATATATGTTGGCAATAAATTAAGAAGTTCACCACGAGTCAGACTAGTATTGATCTCGTGACGACTCTATTTAATGTACATTAATGTCCATTCATAACTTATGTATGAAAAATTCAATTCTCGTCACTTGTAGATTCATCAGTTTCATGATGATCACCACTTAAGTTAAATATATTATTTAATGCGTGACAGTAAAATAATTATTTCTTGGATCTGTGATTGGGACTCACATTTCCAGAACTACTAGTCATTTGCTCGCACGTTGTATATGAAAGGTTTTGATGAGAACATGGGGACCCATTTTTCTCTACTGGAAATCTCAGTTTTTCTGGAAATTTTATAAAAACGTATATTTTATATCTAGAATTTCTTTTTAAATAATTGTTTCTTGTTAAACCCTTTAAAAAAAATTAAAAAAAAATCTCCTAGATTTGGCAATGGTTGATTTTCATGAAGGATTGATTTGTGAGTCAAGATCTACTGTCCAATTTTGTTGTCCATTCAGTTAATTTTTGATACATCATTAATTTAATAGGTTATTGGTGAAGTTACTGAAGGTAAATATGAGATAACATATTAATTATTGATGATATGTCAAGAATTAATTAGATAGAAAGCAAAATGGGACAATGGATCTTGAGTCTTGATTTGCTTCATGTTTAAACTTCTATAAAGTCTCTTTCTTTATCACAATTGGATAAATTGGTGCATAATTATACTACATCAACAAAAACAGGTGCATGCAAATACAAATTAAGCAACGATTTATTGAAACCATGGTACATATATAGTAATGAGCAAATCATGACTTACCTAAACGTAGAAAATACATAAATTCGAAAGAGATAAAATGAAGTGAGGTATACGAATGCAAACTTTCTTAAGATGGATTTAGCCCCTGAACGGATACTAAGGATCAAATGGACATCTATCTTCCAAAATACAATATTTCTTTTTTCCAAAATTAATATTGCATGGTATTAGTTTTGATGGGGAATCAATGATTGACTATACTCTTGTAGAATGGAAGATATCGAATACGAAACTCAAAAAATAATACGAAAATTATTTTTACAGAATTTGGAGTAAATAAATGAAATTAAGGGGGGTCTTATTTATAGATTTTTATGTGTCTCTTCCTAATGAGATCTATTGACAAAATTACTTTTAACCATCAGACTGCACCATTTCATATTTAATGGTGTAGATTGCACCTTAATAAAAAGTTATGACTTTTTCATTATTCAAATTTGGCACTTGAAGAGTTGCATCCAATCGTTACACTCATTGAAGACACTTTCCAATTCTCACGTTTTAATCTTTTTATAAACCCTTAAATTCCAACAACTAAGATATTCACAATGAAAAAGATTTGTTGGCTGCGTCAATTAAGATATTCAAAAACAACTGGGAGGAAGGAATTGACTCCATATATTCGATTAGATAAGAGTAAAATGCTATCCGGATCAATGGGACACCTCCCCTGCAATGTCACCAATAAGAATCAAACCAACCATAGCCCCACTACTTTTTATTCCAAGGTTTGGCACCTTTTGCTCTTCTAATGTAAAAGGTGGCCAGCCATTCATCAAGGCCTAGGAATCTGTTGGAAATCTCAGCAGCGGCGGGATTTGATACCCGCATTCGATCAAAGTTCCATTTTAGCGCTCCCTAACATCAAGGTCAATTTGTCGATTGAATGAGCATAATCTAATATTTGCAAAAAGTCGCACACGAGAACCTAATGCTCTTCTTTGCCGTAAAAGGGTACGAAAGTACGAATGGAATAGTGAAGTTGGTTAACGACAATTTTAAAAATTGTTCCAATTCACTCGTCTTTGAGGTACTAAGTTTATATTTTCGATGAACTGAATTCGATGGTCAATTTTTATGTGCACTTAAAACTTAAAAAGTAGAAAATTGATTTTAGTGAAGTTAAATTTTAAATTTTGAGTCTTAATAAAAAAAATTTAAAATTGACTATTTTATGCTTTGGTCATTAAGTCCCCGTTTGGCCCCATTATTCATCATTAAATTATAATTTATTTTTCTCTATCTTATTATAAATCACATATTTTTCAATAAAATATTATTACACGTAAATTTAAAAATTTTTATTATTTTGTAATCATATATTCCCCAAAAAATTACTATTTCTGACATTATAATATGAAATAATGCTTTCCAAACTGTGCTAAAAAGTTGACCATTTGACTAAAAAAAGAAAGAAAGAAAAAAAGTTCTTACTTCTACATTTTTCATCCCACTTGATGTATATAGACTAAAATACTATTTTCTAAAAAACTATAAAAGTCAGTCCTTTCAATTGCTTTATTTTGTTAATTAAATTTGGCATATTTAAATATCTAATGTTATAAAATAATTATTTTAATTTTCACCTAAAACATGCCTTGAAATCGTTGCATTTGGCATTCACTCGAAGCAAAATTATTAATAAAAACACACGAGAGTTTCTTTACTGACAATTGGTTAATTATAATCAAATCTCTTACTAAACAAAGTGCACTTTGGCCTGCCATTCTGCCTTTCAAGTTACCCCAATCTTGTTTTTTCTTATTGGTTTAAAAATAAATAAATATCATAAAAAATCGAGATATTTTTAGTCTTTACCCCGCTTTGTTGTCCAATCTCGCTTCATCTCCTTGTCATCCGTAAATGAAATCAATTCTGCTATCTGTATGCCCCCTAGGGCACATCCGAGTTGGTGGATCAATCACCTTTGACGCGCTCGCAACCTCAGCGTGGAGAGTTCGATTTCTAGGAGGAACCTGTGATCCAATATAGGGACAATTTATTGGTGGATCAATCACTATGAAGGAAAGCTCTCTTGAGACTAGGAGTTTAGACCGGATGGGAAACTGTGATCCAACAAGGGCACAACCTGCGGTTTACCTCCGCTAGTCACTGAGGGGCCGGTGGCTAGGGGTCCAGGATTTAGTATGACGAAATTGGGACACCTGGATATTAAAAAAAAAAAAAATTCTGCTATCTGTACAACTGGAGTTAACAATTTCGATTGACAACTTCCTCATAGGAGGAGATCCACGATTCGTGCCCCCTCCGATAGGGAAGCTGTACAATCAAGATTCCGTACTACTAGCAAAATTCAAATGAAATGGGAAAAAACGTGATGTAAGAGGGATGCTATACACAATACTCGGCAGATTGTCCATTTATTTATCGTTCATCCTATATATACAAGTTGACAACCAACTGGCAAAATTCTTTATTTATTACTATTTTCTTGTGTTTTTCTACACAAATAAAATTCTACCCGGCTTCTTCTCCGCCAGAATTTCAAGGCAATCTTGTGGTGCCGTCTCTCTCATCCACTCCATGTCCATCCTCTCTCTGTACATTACACTAAACTACCGTATAAACCCAATTCTCATGCAACTTGCATTAAAAAATTACTGCATTCCCATCTCCTCATTAGCATTAAAAAAAATCCCACGAAAGTTCGAAACTTTGCTATCTCTTCTAGTTATATATATACATACATATATCTGCTTCTCTATGCTACCTTTCTTTCTTACAAGCATCCCCCAAGGCGGAGAGGGAGGCGGTGCGTTTTGCATTAAGAGAATTAGCCTATGAGCCAAGCTGCTTTACTTGTTTCAGATCCACATTGAGTATAACCGAAAAAGGTAATTTGATTCAAGCTGGCCCAGCCTATATTTTGGTGTTCTTTAGATGTGTAATGTGTATTTTTCAATTTTAATTTTGATTTTTTTTCTTTGCAATAGATCTAGTTCTTGATTTATATTTCTGGTGTCGTTTAGTTATCGATGGATTTTGTTATTCCGATACAGGGAATGAAGAGTTTGTTTATCTGTCTGATACTTTGGCACACAGAAATCTGAGAACAGGGGCAGAGCAGACAGTTCGAACTGTGGGGTCATTTTTTTTTTTCGAACAACGTATCATGAACAAAAAGGAAAAATCGATTGTTTGCTGATCATGTTCAATATTTGCACTTTGAAAAGAAATCGGTGGATTATATGATATATTTATGAACTAAATAATGGATATGGAAAATGATTTAGAATTTGAACTTTTTGGGGGCAGAAAATTAGGTTTTCAACAAAAAAATAAAAAATTCAAAAAACTGTGAGGTCATTTGACCGCATGTGACCCCATGTGGGTTCGCCCCTGTCTGTGAACACAACTTTTGGGTTTTTCATTTAATAGTAAGATTAGAATTTATATGTAATTGCCTATTTTTGGATCTCTTTTGTTCGGCATTTGTGTTTATTTGATCTAATGATGACCAGATTCTGATTTGGACTTTCGTGTTGCATTGAAATTTGAAGCAATTAAAGCTGATCTATGATGCTGTTTATCACTGTCTCTAGATCATTATTCAAGTAATTTACAGATTTAATCTTTGAAAGTCGAAACATTAATCAAGTGAAGAAAATGGATTTGAAGAGATTTCTTATTGTATACTTGCTTACATTTCAGGTGTAATAGAAAAAAGGTCTCTGAGGACTGATTCAAGTTTTACGTGTAGAAGTATGGCTTTAGGAAAGTACTCTAGAGTTGATGGCAGAAAATCGTCATCGTGTTGTTCAACAGTCACAATAGTGGTTTTCGTAGCTCTTTGCTTAGTTGGGGTATGGATGATGACATCATCGTCTGTGGTCCCCATTACATCGGATGTCGCTTCTCAGGAAAACAAGAGTGAGATGAAGACACAACCGAGTGAGATCAATGGTGAAAATAACAACGATGCTGGCAATGGTGGGAATAGTAACAATATGGTTGATGAAAGTAGTCGTAACGATGAGGACAAGTCAAAGCAGTTTGAAGATAACCCAGGTGATCTAACTGATGATGCTACCAAAGCGGACACTAGTTTGAATTCAGATCAGGAGGATAAGAACAGTAAGCCTGAAGAGACTAAACCCGAAGAGACAAAGCCTGAAGAGACGGAGAAAACCATTGACGAAAGGCAGGAAGAGAAACCTGAAGAGAAGTCAGAGGATGAAAAGAAAGATAATGGAGAAGACAAAACAGATGATGGTAAAAAAATGAAACAAGATGGATCTAAGAATGAGTTAGAGAAAGAAGTGGAAAAGAAGGGAGATGGGGTAGTGCAGACTGAAGGTAAAGATTCTGAAGCTGGAGACCAGGAAAACAAGTCTGATGACAATGAGAAGAAATCTGACGAAGCTTCGGGTTATACAAAAGATGGTCAAATAGAGGAGAAGGGTGAGGAAAAGAAAGATCTGGATTCACAACAAGGTTCTGGTGAGAAGAAGGATCAGTCTTCAGGTGAGGTGTATCCTTCTGGGGCTCAATCAGAGCTTCTGAATGAAACGCAGACCAAAAATGGAGCATTTTCAACTCAGGCAGCCGAGTCAAAGAGTGAGAAAGAAGTTCAAAAGTCTACAGGGTCACAAAATGCGTACAATTGGAAGCTTTGTAATACCACTGCTGGGACAGATTATATTCCGTGCCTTGACAATTTGGAAGCGATGAAGAACCTTCGATCTACGAAGCATTATGAACATAGGGAGAGGCACTGTCCTGATAAACCTCCCACCTGTCTCGTTCCACTTCCTGAAGGATACCAACGCTCAGTCGAATGGCCTACAAGCCGGGAAAAGGTGCAGTACTTTAGACGATTTTTTGTAGCTGCATTTTTGTAGTTTTCTTCTCTCACATTATTTCTAGTCTCATTCCTACAGATATGGTACCATAATGTTCCCCATACCAAGCTTGCAGAAGTTAAAGGACACCAAAATTGGGTTAAAGTTAGCGGTGAATACCTTACCTTCCCTGGAGGTGGCACCCAGTTTAAGCATGGTGCTCTTCATTACATCGATTTCATACAGCAAGTAAGACTCTGAATTCATCTTCTTTCTTTGAACTAATATCTAGTGCTTTTTAGGATCATTTAAGTTTATTTTTTCAACTTGTGCTAACTGACTGTGCACAGTCTGTGCCTGATATTGCCTGGGGAAAACACTCACGTGTGGTACTGGATGTTGGATGTGGTGTTGCTAGCTTTGGTGGCTTTCTATTTGAAAGGGACACACTAACCATGTCATTGGCTCCCAAAGATGAACATGAAGCTCAGGTTCAATTTGCTCTCGAAAGAGGAATTCCTGCTATATCGGCCGTTATGGGTACCAAGAGACTCCCATACCCGGCAAGAGTTTTTGACTCAGTCCACTGTGCACGCTGCAGGGTACCCTGGCACATTGAAGGTACAATGCTGCCAACTGCTCAGTTTGAGAAGGACTGGTATATAATTGCTAAATTAAATGACCTGAAAAACTTACACAGTAACAAACTCTGTAAATGAAAAATTCTACTCAAAATTTTCTCTAAACACATGCTTCATTTGTCAACTCAAACACGGTTCACCTTTCTTTGAATTTGTAATTATTGTAAGTCTGTTTGACACTCATCAGCATGTTACAACATGCAGGTGGTAAACTTCTCTTGGAGCTGAATCGTTTGCTTCGACCTGGTGGTCTATTTGTTTGGTCTGCTACTCCTGTCTACCAGAAGCTTGACGAAGATGTTGAGATTTGGGAAGGTATCCCTTTAAAATCTTGTTTTCATTTAAGCATACAATGTTCGTAGAATCTAAAATTGTGTTGTGGGAATGTTTGGCAGCCATGAAGAAACTAACTAAGGCAATGTGCTGGGAGGTTGTTTCAATTACTAAGGATACAATTAATCGAGTAGGTATAGCTACATATCGCAAGCCAACTTCAAATGAATGCTATGAGCAAAGGTCACAAAATGATCCTCCACTTTGTGAGGACTCGGATGATCCTAATGCTGCTTGGTATGTTATTCTTTAAGAGAAATACGACACCCCAATTGACTTCTTTGATCTTTCTGTGATAATTTAATTTTGAGCTATATTGCTATATTAGAATTGAATTTCGTCTTTACATTTACAAAAGCAGTTATTTTATCTTGACATGTCCAGGAATGTGCCTTTGCAAGCATGCATCCACAAATTGCCTGCTGATTCTTCGGAACGTGGGTCTCAGTGGCCAGAACAATGGCCCGCCAGATTGGAGAAAGCACCTTATTGGTTGCTGAGCTCGCAGGTTGGAGTTTATGGTAAACCTGCTCCAGAGGATTTTGCTGCAGATTATAAACATTGGAAGAATGTGGTGAACAAGTCATATTTGAATGGACTGGGAATCAAATGGTCCACTGTGAGAAATGCCATGGACATGCGTGCTGTCTATGGAGGGTGAGAAAAAAATACCATCTAGCTCTAGCTATTTTTTTGAGTGCTCAGTGATATTTTTCTCCCTTCGTAGTGCACATGTATATGCAACCAAGCCTCGGTCTAGCTAATTTATAAATGATTTATAAATAATTATAAATGGTCAAACTTTATTTTTATCCATGCATTTCAAAGGACCCACGAGTACTATTCACTTATTTTGTACTCATTTCTATTTATTTATAATTTAACCTTTTATAAAATCTTCCCAATACGAATTGTAAATTTTGCTTAAAGTAATTATCACATATAATTTTGGTTCAGTTCAATGGCAGGTGGTTTTTAACTTTTGTAGTCTGTTTAGTGAGGTGGATTAGATAGTACGGACTCTCTTAAGGAAGAAGCAGCTAAAATCTTCTCCGTTGTATTGTCTGATATGGTACATGCACTTATTATTTTTTCGTTGGATATGCTACCCAAATACCCTGATAATTTTGGTTTATGGCTAATTGCATGGACCATTTTTATTTCCAGTGTAATTTTTGGACTTCAGCCAATTGATTGTGAACTTGTTAAGTTCCTGCATTTTTTTGTTGCGGAGTATTTGCTGTGTCGCCACTTAATCGGCATTGTTATTCTCTTGTTTGAAAGCATAAACCTTTATATTGCAAATCTTATCTTTCAGTATTATTTGGCTTGTATTAATCTATTGGCTCCCTTCGCAGATTGGCTGCTGCTTTGAAAGAACTGAATGTGTGGGTTATGAATGTTATATCCATAGATGCTCCGGATACACTACCAATTATATACGAACGAGGTCTATTTGGAATTTATCACGACTGGTGCGAGTCCTTCAGTACATATCCAAGATCTTATGATCTTCTCCATGCAGATCATATCTTCTCAAAAATTAAGAAGAAGTGCGTATAATATTCCAGTAATTTGATGCGGGGTTAATACACTGGTGGTCACTAAACTTCTGGCGAAACCTATTACAATTTGTTTACTCTCCTTTAGTCTGATTAACAGATGCTACATCAGTTTTCTGTTAGTCAAACTAACGGACATGGAAAAATGTCCAAATTGGAATGATCAATGTGAAAAGTCGGTGACCACCAGTGTCTTTAACCCAATTGCCAAACGTTTCTAAACTTCATTCTAACAAGTCTGTATTTCGGGGGTCGACAGGTGTAATTTCATGGCTCTTGTTGCGGAGGTTGATCGAATCCTGAGACCTGAAGGAAAGCTCATTGTCCAGGACAATGTTGAGACCCTTAATGAACTTGAAAGCATATTCAAGTCTATGAAGTGGGAGATTCGCTCGACCTACTCTAGGGATAAGCAAGGATTGTTGTTTGTCCAAAAAACAATGTGGCGCCCTACTGAAGCCGAGACAATTTTATATGCTATTGCTTAAGGTATAATACGACATACCTAGTTTGATACGCGAGGCTTTCCTACCACGGAGAATAGGTATTCTTTTTGTATCGATGCTAATTTAACAGTGTGGTAATTGTGTTCGTCTTAAGGCTATTGTGCATTGTCTTAGCCAAGTAGTGCTTTTAGCTTCGATTTCTTGGTTAGAGGCTCGGTCGAGGTTCTTTTGTTGTAGTGTTGTGTTGTTACTTGTCAGTAAAACGTGGAACACCTTTCTGAAAGTGTAAAGCCCGTTTGTTCGATACGTTTATGGAAATGGAAATTTTTGCTTCAAATTTTGAATTTGGTCCATTGTTACCTAAGCTAAGCAATTTTACACTTGTCTTCATCAAAGTTTCCTTGGACTTCTCTTCAAGTTACTGCAAATGAGAGTATCAGAGTTGAATGTTTATGCATCATTGCACTTGTCTCAGTTTTACTAATCATGTTGCCATGATAATAAATCCCTTTTTACAAATTGTTATAAACTGTTTATAATCAGTCAAATTACTTTTTATTAATATATTTTGTGAAATCTATAAGTATTATTTACGGATGTCAATGAGTCGAGTCGAGTCGAGTCGAGCAGAAACTCGAGACTCGGGCTCGACTTGGGTAAAATGTGCAAGCTTTTTTTGGGGCTCGAAGCTTAGCCAAAAAAATTCGGCTCGGGCCGAGCTTGGTAGGCTCACTTTTTTTTTTTTTTTTTTTGGCTCACGGGCCAGCTTGGGCTCGGCCCGTCCTCCCAAAATGGAGTTCTACCGAACCTCGAGCCAGGATATGGATTTTTTCGGGCCTAGCCAATGAGTCGAATTGCCGTCCCTAGACTATTATTTACTTATTCTTCACATATTTTTAAGTTAAACCGATTAAACAATTTTTGAACATGTTTTTGATAAATTACGAGTTCTACGACAAGTTGATACTGTGTTTTTGGCCATTTCCTATCCATACACCATCGTTTATGTTTATTGTCACATATTTTTTTGTCTAAAATATAAATAGGTATGGATAATGAAACTATAGAATATCAAAAAATAAAAGAATAACAATAATAACTATAATGTATGTGGAAGAACTTTATTATTTCTGAATTTGGATGGGATGGATTATCTATAAAAAAATTACGAGAAATAATTTCCTCTTTACTCTTCCTCCTTACCTTACCCCAACACCAAACTGCCATCCGAGAGGAAGGAAAGATGGGGTAGAGCAAATGGAAGAAACCAGCGGGTTGGCAGGCGATTAGCCGAACTAGCCGTTTAAGTCTGCTACTTGTCACGGACTTGCTAATTTCCTTCAAGAACCGTGTGACTTTAGTGTCTTCAACTTCCGCCCCGCGGTTATTACACTAAGTCAGCCTCCCGATTGGCGTTGATGTCTTAGAAAGGCACTAAGTAGAACACTTTAAGAAAGGGACAATGAAGGAACACAAGAACTTACAAAGAAGGCTTTGTATTGAATAAGGATACTCTTTACAACTTCACTCTCTTGATGCCTTCAAATGAATCCTACCAAGCTATTTATAGTAGTAGACTCCTCAAATGGATGGCTAGGATCTTTTCTATCCAATGGTCTAGATTACACATCTAGAATTATCTATACAAATATTTACATTAAAATATTTATGGACTAAACTAGGATGATCTAGAATAATCCACCAAGTGAGGAGCTTGTAGGCTTCTAGAATGTCCCACCATATTCTAGCAATCTTCATGCACTTGTGGGAGTCTAGAATATTCCGGTTAGCCTCAAGTCGTCAACATTTTAAATTTCTCGATCTTCTTGTGCCAAAATCGAGCAAGTCGTGACATTCTCCCCTGCCTATTTGGGCGACGCCCTCGTCGCCACGTAATGCTTTAGTTTGTCTTCGAACTGCCACAAGTCTTCTTGACTTTCCCACGTTGCTTCGGACTCGGGTAATCCCTTCCATTTTATCAAAAATTGTTGGCAAGGAGGCACTCCACGCCTTCGAACAATGCGATCTGCTAGAACCTCATCAACCTCCTTGTCAAATGACTTAGTCACAATCGGAGGTGCCCGTTGTGACTCCCGTCTGCTAGGGTCTTCCATGTCTTCATGATATGGCTTCAACATGCTCACATGGAAGACGGGATGAATCTTTAAAGTGTTAGGTAGGTCAAGGCGATAAGATACCTTGCCAACCTTAGCTATCACCGGGAACGGCCCTTTATATCTCCGTACCAAGCCTTTGTGCACACTTCGGTACGTCTTAAATTGTTGAGGTAATATTTTCACAAGGACTTGGTCGCCAACTTTAAATTTCAAAGGCCGTCTCTTCTTATCGGCCCACTTCTTCATGCGCCTCCGTGCTTTGTTTAAACAAGATCGTGCTAAGTCGACATGCTCTTCCCATGACTTAGCCATTTTGTATGCTCCGGGGGCTTTTCCCTCCTTCAATAGAAGTGGACAAAGTGTGGGGTGTTAGTGGTTGTTGTCCCGTCGCCAACTCGAATGGACTCCGCCCCGTGGCTTCACTCCTTTGTAAATTGTAGGAAAATTGTGCAATATCCAGGAGCTTGGCCCAATCTCTCTGATTGGCACTTACAAAGTGCCGGAGATAGCACTCCAACAAAGCATTCACCATTTCTGTTTGTCCATCCGTCTAAGGGTGAAAGCTTGTAGAGAAGTGTAGGTCCGAGCCTAGGAGTTTGAACAACTCCGTCCATAGCCGACTCGTGAATCGGGGATCACGATCACTTATTATGCTCCGCGGTAACCCCCAATACTTCACAACATTCTTGAAGAATAGCCTTGCTGCTTCCTCCGCTGTGCAATCCTTGGTGACAGGAATGAAGGTGTCGTACTTAGAGAATCACCACCACCATTATTGACCCGAACCCTTCGGATTTAGGCAGGGCACTAATGAAGTCCATGGTGATAGAGTCCCATGGACGCTCCGGGACTGGTAGAGGCTCCAACAAACCCCCTGGGGACCTTGTTTTCACCTTGTCTTGTTGGCACACAAGACAAGTCTTTACATAGAGCTCTACCATGTCTTTCATTTGCGGCCAATAGTAAGCTCGTTCAAGTAGTGCCAATGTGTGTTTCTGCCCTGGATGACCAGCCCACTTTGTGTCATGGCACTCCTTGATGATATCTCGCCGCAAATTGTTCCATTTAGGAACATAGATACGCTGCCCCGTAGTGTAGAGTAAGCCGTCCTCGACCCAAAACCGTCGCGTCTTTCCTTCTTGGGCAGCTTTTACCAACTCCTTAGCCAATGGATCATGATCCATGCCTTCCCGAATCAAATCAAGCAACATCCCTTTTGCTTGGCTTATGGCTGCAAGCTCCGCCTTTCTGCTTAACGCATTGGCTACAACATTCGCCTTCCCCGACTTGTATTCCATCACATAGTCAAACTCCGCTAAGAAATCTTGCCAACGTGCTTGCTTGGGAGTCAGCTTCTTTTGTGATTGGAAATAACTAGTAGCGACATTATCCGTCTTGATGATGAATTTTGAGCCCAACAAGTAATGACGCCACACTCGTAGGCAATGAACAATAGCCATCATCTCCTTTTCTTGCACCGTATACCGACGCTCAGTGTCGTTGAGGTTGCGACTTTCAAAAGCAATAGGATGCCTTTTTTGCATTAGAAGACCCCCAATAGCAAAGTCTGAGGCATCTGTTTGTACTTCAAAGGTCTTGGTGAAATCCGACAATGCCAAGACCGGTTCCTCCATCACGGCCGCCTTCAAATTATCAAAGGCCGTTTGACATTTCTAGGACCAATCCCATGTCTTATTCTTCTTCAATAGGTCCGTTAGTGGGGCTGCCCTCGCTGAGTAGCCTTGGATGAACCGCCGATAATAATTAACTAGACCAAGGAAAGAACGAAGTTCGGTTACCTTGGTTGGTGCTTCCCACTCCTTGATTGCTTTTACTTTTGCCTCATCCATTTTCAAGTGCCCGTGGCCAATGATATGTCCAAGGAAGTGCACCTCCTCCTTGGCAAAGGAACATTTTTCCTTTTTGATGTATAGCTCATTCTCCCGCAATGCTTGGAACACCGTTCGGAGATGTTTTGCGTGATCCTCCAAGTTGTCGCTATAGATGACAATGTCATCCAAGTATACCACCACGAACTTGTCCAAGTAAGGTTGGAAAATCCTATTCATCAATGTGCAAAATGTGGCCGGGGCGT